ATAGACATTTAGTTTTCTAATGACGAGAATCAATATACAACCATCTCACACAAAATAAAAAAACACTATAATATATTAGAACCCAGAATGTATATTTTTAAAAGCCAAGATTTACATACTATTAGTGTTTTAAAATTCCTGCATATGCTTGAGGTGTTTTTGAAACGCCCTGCACATGAGATATGCTCGTGATAATGGGGTCAACCCAATTCATTAATTGCATATGTGCTTACGCATCAAAATGCGCACGCATTTATATTAAAAATTGTGTTAAAATTAACCTAGCAAATTTCAGTCCAGCTCATTTTTATAACTTTAAAGATAAACAAACAAAAAAATTGAGCTGAACAAACATCAAATTAGCCCAACACACAAGTAGTAGTGGCAAAAAAACTCGTCGGCTCGGACGACTCGGGCTGCCCGGAAAAAGCCCAAACCGGGCCCGGCTCAGGCTCGGTGGAACCGGGCCTAGGCTCGGGCCAAGCCCCATTTTGGGGGGTCGGCCCGTGATTAATTAAAAAAAATTAAAAATAATAAAAAAAATTTAAGCTAAAATAGCTGGAAAAAATAAAAAATCGAGCCGACTCAGCTCGGCCCGCTAAGGCTCGGGCCGAACCTTATTTTCTCGGCTCGACTCATTGACATAGCTACACACAAGCCCATGAATTATATGTAGGGTTTTGATGTTTAGAAAAAAATAAATAAATTCATAGAGTTGCAAAATATTTATGCTGAGCCAATGCCTTCAAGGCCAAATGGGCTCCTAAAAGTCACCAATCTTAAGTTCAAGTAGGGGAAAACATAAACAATCACATACTGAAGAGGTATTGAAAAAATTGGTATTGTATAGGGCAAATTACCATCAAGAAACAACCATTTTTGGGGAAAAAAAATAAAAATTCTAAGGAGCTAGATGAAGGGAATGAAAACAAGGCTTGACAAAATCTTAGGTTCACGATGGTGCCAAGAGGGTTAGCAGTGGTGGTGGTGGTCGAAGATTGAGAGAGAGTATGATCAGTAGAAGGGAGATAACATTGAAGAGCCGGTCCTTGGTGTAATCCTAACATGATTTAAAAAAGAGATTTTTCATACTAACGAGCACAGCTAGAGTGCTGGGCCTAACATTCTCTATTTAAATTTGAACTTCAAAGTATCTTCCTCACCATATGAAGTGCTTTTCTTAGAGAAGCCAATAACAAATGGGGGCCCAATACTGCTAAATATGAAAGGGATACGCCCAATACAAATTAGTAATGAAGCCCTAATCCTATTGGTAACAAAGGATAACAATGAGTTAAGGTCACTTTAAGCTAGGTGTGTCAAATTGGCTCGTCGGTTCGAACGATCTGTGACTCTATCAGAAAAAAGTTCGAATTTGCCCGCATAGAATCGAGCTGAGGCTTAGGCCGAGCCCCCTATTAGAGAGTCCACTCGAGCCAGAGCCACATGGGCCATTTTCGGCCCATGGGCAAATTTATAAAATAAATAAATAAAGCTTTGGCAGCTGCGCTACTGCCTTTTTGAAAAAATAAAAAAATAATTTTAAAAAAAAAGCATGAGCCGGCTCAGCTAAGTTCGATAGGCCCGAGCAAAAAGCTCGAGTCAATCCTAGATTTTTTGGCCGAGCAAAAGCTCGACTCGACTCGGACAAAAAAAATTCAAACCATTTTTACTCGAGTCGAGCCTGAGTTTTGAGTTTCGGCTCAACTTGTTGACATCCCTACTTAAAGCAAATTTAAAGACAACAGTTTGTGGAGATTCAATTAAATGAAATATTCCGTTTGGCTCGAAAGATAAAAGTATAAAAAAGGAAAAAAAAATAAAAACTATGGATGTGTTTGAGTCACATTATTTTGGAAGAATATATTTTAGAATAGTAGATTGATGGAGAATGTGTAATTGAAAAAGAAGGAAAAATTGTTGATGTGATGGAAAATATTATTTTATTGAAAAATATGTGGTTGAAAATGAATAGAAAAATGAGAATGTGAATTTTAATGTGGCTCAAACAGAGTTTATAATGACACTTTGAGCATGTTTAGCTAAGCTTAATAAATATTTATAATCATCTTTTTTTAAGGAAACTTCTTGTTTTATTCATTGAAATCATAGAGTACAAACTTCCAAGTAAAAAATGGGGATTTCCCTTTCCAGCATATGACTTTTGGACTTGAAAAAGAAAGACCAGCAATGCGTAAGCAACACTATTCACTTCAACCACACATTTAGTGCTTATTTGGTAGGAATTTTTGGAGGGAAGAATTGATTTTGAATAGTGAGATGATGGAAAATGTGTAGTTAAAAAAGAAGAAAAAATTATTGATGTGATGGAAAAAATTATTTTATTAAAGAATATGTAGTTGAAAATGAGAATTGATTTGATAATCAATTCTCAAAATCAGAAACAAACACCCCCTTAAACTTCCCAGTTTCATGTGTACGAAACTTGCCCGTCAAAACTAATGATTACTCGATTGGAACGTTAACCTTAATCCTACATGTTATTATTAAGAGCGTGTTCGGTAAAGATTAAAATCGAATTAAAATTGAAAAACTAGCAATTATTGTTGACTTTTATTAGACGAGTGAAACTCAATAACGGTTATATTTTTAATTTTAATTGAATTTTAAACACGATCAAACACGCCCTAAATTCCAAAGTGAAGCGCTAACTATTACACGCATCAGACGAAAAATGCCATGCCTTCAAAAATTTATCAAATAAAAATGCAAAATTTAACAAAATGACTGCTTATTAAAATCAAATAAAATATGGATGAAATGTATTTGACAATTACGATTTAATCAATAATTAACACAACTTTATCTATCATTAATGTAATAATTAGAAACTTGAATGATTATTACTCAAGAAAATTACTTCATCATTAATGTAATAATTAGAAACTTGAATCATTATTACTCAAGAAAATTACTTCAACGACCATTTTAATTCTTTTAATAAACTTCAGTGACAGTCGTTAAAATAAATCGTCAAATTATAATGATATTTGTCATAATGATGATGGATCATTGTCTTTATTATCGGAAAATTCGTTATTTAAACACGATGATTCATTACTTCACGAATTAATTATTTCTCGTCTGAATATATTTTATGAACATCCAAATTAATTCAATGTCACGAACGAATATTTTACGAAATCGTAGCTATTCTTTCCTCTTTAATTTAAAACATTTTAACTAATGCAATCATAATCCATTATTACGAGGTTAATGCATTTGAAGAAATTTTTTATTTCTTTACAAATTTAGAGGCCGAAGTGTTATTCCATTTCTTGATGCACTAATGTCAAAATTAATTTATACGGCAAGTGAAATGCGGTCAACTGTTTGGTCAATGGAAAATCAATTATTTCAACGGTCAATGATTTTGACCTCTTCTCGTCTGTGCCTATGCCGGCCGGATACAACATATGGGATATTCATTTCATATTTGTCTAATTTTGAATGTTGACCAGCCCTTTTTTGTGTCATTTGACTTTGTATTACTCATAAAAAAAATAAAAATTAATTATTAGGAGTGGGCAATTTTATTCGAAAGTATTGACACCAGACAGAGACATGTTCAGTACTGATTAAAATCATATTTTAATTTAAATCAAATTCAAACAATCAATATTAACCACATCTTTCATAGGTCTCACGCATTTTCAACAATATATTTTAAAAACTTCTATCACAATCTACTAAAAATCTAATTTTAATATCCACCAAACACCCACATAATCGAATTTTGATTTGGTTGATTATTTTACGTTATCGACCGGCTCCAATTTGATCGGCCCCCTTTTTTTTTGGCCCATAGGATCAATAATTTCATTTTTTTTTTTAATGAAGACCCGTTACGTTTAGTTTTCACTGTCATAGAACTTAAACCAAACAACTACTTGCCCACCTCTACAATTTATAAAAAATGAGGGCGGCGGTCTGCAACTCTTTTGACAAATCAAAACCTATGTAGGAACAAAGATTCTTAAACCATTTTTAGAAATCAAAATAAATGTCTAAATTAAGATTAAATTTTCTAGATGAATCCTCAAGCCAATGGGATTACAACACATAACCCACAAAAATTTCCATGGTCAAAAGGTTAATCTGAAAGATCTGATTTCCATAATTTACAAATGACTCAAAAGGTTAGAAAAATATCTCAATATAATCACTTTTAATTCAACAAATCGTGGAAAAAGAAAGTTATGGGCTACCTGCCTACTTTCCATATATGTATCATGAACAAATCATGTGTTCTTTTCCTACTCATTCTCACCATGTATAAATATGTGCACATCAATATACATTGAGATGAACAAAAACATATAATTTAGAGAGATTTGTGTGAGGGGTGATTTTCTCCATGCCTATGATGGAGCAGATGAAGAACTTCAACAACAATAACAAAAAGGAAGATGGCATAGCAATTCACAGCCAAGTTCGGAAAATTAAGCAAGAAATAGAGAAGATCGATCACCCGGGCCTGCAGAAGGTGCAGATGAGACCCGAGATTATGCGCCAACACCGGTCTAGATCCCCGTTAGGTGTAGCCAAAAGGCCCATCTCTGTTGGGGACTGATGTAAACTACAAGGAGTGTGTGCTTCACTAGTTGAATTTAGTTACTCTTTCTTTTCTTGTTTTCTCTATGCTTTGGCCTTTCAGCTGTACATAATTTGGTTTAGAATCTGAAGAAAACATCTATATTTAGTCTTGTTTATGCAGAAAGTTCTATTTATATATATATACACACACACACATACATACATGTATAAAACAAAATGAAATGGAGAGGTATGATGCAAGAACGAAATTGAAGTCAAGAATAGTATTTTGTTAAAGAATCCTATGAAATTTTCAGATACAAAAAATTCATAACCACAGACAGAACACAAAAAATTTCTAAATTTTCTGAGCAGAAAACACTCACAGGAATCATTTTGCTGAGTTCCTATTCATGGAGAAGCTTTTCTAACACAATTCTAAACTATTGAGCAGTTACCGATTCCTTTGACATGAGTTCCTTCACTCTCCTTGTAAGATCCCGCATCGCATCTACAATGACAGACTTCTTCTGGATTCTAAATTGGATTGCCAACTCAGTTGTAGCGGCAACTCCCTGTTTTAATAGGGACTCATCTTCCATGATTTTGGTGGGGAAGTGTCCTAGAGCAATCACACAGACGGCAATGATGGTGCGAAGAGCAGCTACCTCGTTCGATATTCCAAGAGGAGCTTCAGCTGATAATGATTTGAGTGTATTCAAATCGTTGCTTTCGACTGCTGCTTTATCAGTGGACAGAAGAACTCTCAAGGCAGCCAACAAACGGCCCTCTACCAACTCAGAGCCTCCTAAACTCACCTTTCAGGATTAAAACGTAATATAAATAAGTTAAAAAACTAAACAGGATTGTGTGTGGTGATTCCAAACTCCAGTAGGAGGTAAATCATGAAATATTTAACGTTCTGAAAAACCAATAAATTAATAGCCAGGTTCTGATGGTGGCATATAAGCAGATATAGGCAGCATCACAAATCAGTGTTTCGGAAAAGCTATTATCCCCAATTAATAGGCCAATACTTTACTTTTACTTCTTTTCAATTTTTTAATTTAAAGAATTATTCATGGAAAGGGTTGGAGGTGGAAGGCATCTGGTTGGGGCAGCGGGGGCGGGTTCGGGGGCATTCAAAATTTTAAAATCCAAAGCAAATAATGCTCAAACTAACTATATCAATATCCAAAGCAGGCACTCGAAACAAACAATGTCCAAAACAATTTTAATTTTTTTTTTAATTCTTCACAGGGCGGGTTCGGGGTGGAACCTGAGACGGGGCAGCGATCCCTGCGCCCGCCAACCCGTCGGGGCAGGGCCCCGCCGGGTTTTTTTGCCATCACTAGGTTCAAGTCTCTTAGGAATTTTTCTTCTTTTTTTTTTTAAGTAGCTTGATGCAAGAACTCACAGGTGAAAAAATAATATTAATATTAATTTGTGTCTAAAGGATTATATGCCAAAGGATACGTTTTTTTAATTTATAACTATAATCATTAACTCTCATAATGAATTTCTGCCAAATAATTATGTTATTGCACTCCAAGGATTTCAAAAATGTAATAGTAAAAGCAACAAGATATGCTGATAATGAATCGTGAAGGGAATATCCCTAAAAAATGCAAGTACATAAACAAAATGTGATTACATTAGAACTCTTTAACGTTAAAGAATGAAAACTGAAGACAAAGAAAAACACATACCTTGAGATCAGAATTTTCTCCACGTAGATTAAGCTGGAACAAAATCTCTTGCTGCCATGAAGATGGTGACGAGAAGTTGGGGGATGAGATTCCAGCTGCCATGCTTGCAGCATCCAGGAGAGCCGGATCATATTTGAGTTCAACACAGTCATAAGGATTTGGGTTCATAACAAATCCATAATCCAGAAGGAAAAAATCATTATTTAAAAAGCCATAATTAAGTACTAATGGATCATCTTGCATAATCTGCGTTCGAGCAATAACCTGGTAGGCATAGACCAAAGCAAACAAAATTGATGGAGAAAAGAGGAATAGAATCAATTCAACAAAACATGGATAGATTCTTCATATATTGTGTGTTTTCAAAAAGTAATAATTAATACATGCCTTCACAAGCATCTTCTCATTGTTTGGCTCTTGTTCTTGTACAATTTCAGCATTTGGGTTGAAACTGTGATTGCACATATCAATCAGTGGAAGCATCATCGGAGCATCAATATGGGTCCCATTTGGATGTTTACTGCCATACAAACGGAACGCTCGAGAAGAAACCGCTGACATTGCCCACCCAAGTGAAGAGGAATCTACATCTTGGCCTCCAAATGGATGGTCATTTGCTTTTAGGCCTTCAAGTTCATATTTCACTAATTTCTCAAAATCAAGAAGAAACCGACATCTCTTATTTACCTAGAGAAAAGAATGACGAACAATAAGTAATCATCTTCGGTCAATACTGAAAATGCAGAGTTCATAACATCCGACAATTTCGTAGGTAAGTCCATTCACTAGAAAGTTTTGAGGTCTATGGAAGTAGTTATCTACCTGATAAAGAAGAGGAGCATACTGCAAGTTCTTGATATCCTCACCAGGGAAGAAAATGGGTACACTATAAGTTTCAGGAAGGTTGCTGATATATGGCCACCAGAAGGAACCAGCTTTTGCTCTTTCTTGCAGAAGCTTTAGACCCAGTTTCATAGCCCACAGCTCCTCTGTCAAATGCTCCAAATGTCCAATTTACTCCTTATACAATATTCAATAGCCTAACTTATAAGGAACAGAGTTACTAACCTATATCAAAATCTCATAACTTAAAGTTTTATGCTTAGAAAGGGGGAGAACATCTGTTATTTAGCTGTTGATCTTCTTACTTATACAAGGATGATGCGATATTTGAATATAGACTTGTTATAATTATCATTTGTAATCAAACATAAATATGAGAAGAAGATTTTTTCTCTTTTAACTAAAACATGCACATTAGCGTGTAGCTGCGAAAACTTAGCATGCTCAGCAACAATCATGACATACCCATCCATGGAATGACAAAAGCCAAAACCACTAGCACTCCATTGAGCACCAATGCTTCACTATCTTCAAAGATTGGTGATTCATTGAAAATGCTTCACTATATAGGAGCTTTGATATTGCTCTTCCCAATTCTACACAATCACTAAACAATAGATTTCCTATAGTGCCAACAAGATTTGTAATATAAGCACAATCCTCTCGACATACATTAGAGGGTTGTTAAAGGGATACGTAGGCATTTTAAAGAAACAAATGGGTATGATTTGCTGTTACAAAAACTAAACTAGAGAATCTATACATCGAAGAATTCTCATAAGTTGATTGGGAATCAAATTAAGATGATAGGAGGTCCACTTTGGGCTATTTTTCTAGAAGGAAACTTAAGTCTTGTGGAGGTCAAAGAAACAACCAACGGTGTTAAGATCAACAGTTGATTCAAAATATCGAAACTTAGCAAAGCACCAGTGATATGGTGTGGTAATCCAAGTACAGTTTCTCCATCTGCCAGTATAGTACTTCATTGAGGAACTAAACATATACTGTTAGATCTGTAAATTGTGAGAGTGGCTATTGCTTTAAAGGCTTCAGGTTCAGCATGTTCCATCCCACGATCAAACTGCAGATGTTCTCACTGCGGCACACTCAGCCTTCACTTCAATAGACTTAGAAGCAAGCTAAACATAGATCCCTCAATCACAATAAACTTGAGAAAGTGATGAGGGTAACATAGTAAACTCAGTATATGTTAGAACATTTGTTAGATGATTCTTTCGTTATTATATTATTTGTTACCTTATCCAGGCTGTGAAAACACCTCTATATAGCTTTGATGAGCTAATTGTAAGTGATTATATCCACCATTTAAGTACAAATACAAAATTCCAAAATCTCTCTCTTATGCTCACACCTGTCATCCTTGGATACAGTCAATAGATGTTAGTTTTTAACCACATGGTCATATACGTTTCATCTTTTCTAATTTTAGCACATATTATCTTTATCATTAACCAGAATGACCATTTACGTTCCGAATTTTCTAAATTTAGCCCATACCATTTAAGCATTCACATTTTAGTTAAGCTATTCTCCACATCCTACCTTAGTGGCTCCATCAACTTTTTTATTAACTTCACCATTATTGAGATTGGTAAATTTTGTAAATTATGTTGTTTCTCAAAACTAAATTTCAGTATCACTCTTATTATCCTATAAATTATGAGGCATGTTATTTTACTGCAAACAGTATCCAATTGACAAAGTGAAAAGTCCAAGGTGGCATTCATGGGCAAAGGAAGTATTTATCTGTGCACTGCTAAAATTCAAATAATGTAGAACACACCACAAGCTTATTGTAATATCATCTATTCATCTTGCTAGTATATGTTGACCACATAAGAGATTCAAAAGTCATTAGTTAAACCAAGCTGCTTCACACAATCCTAAGACCAAAATAATCTCCAAATCTTCTTTCCATGGACAAAGTTCCCTAGATATTTACAGTGTTCACTTTCAAGTATGTTTCAATCTTCAATATATATAACTAGAAAAGAAGTTGGCAGTTTGTGAACTTAAGTTTGTTCCTTCTTCTAAATTATGCATGCTAGTCAGGTATCCAATTCATATAGATCATGAGAAATGCAGTATTTTTCATTTCCAGCTGAGTTTATGATGTGTTGGATCTTTTAACTTTTCCCTGTTCCATTGAGACCTTATTCAGATATATGCTTTCAAATGAATTTCTTTAGACATGACCGATTTTTTTCTCTACAACCCTTGTAATGAGAGGCTCTTGCTACAGATACCACATTCTTGTATTTTTGTAACAATACATGACAAGTCACCATTATAAGCTAATAGTATATTAAAACTTGATAATGTAAAATCAGATGGATGACTTCTATAATCAGCAAATGATGATTATTAATTCATTATCAAATATCAATCCTCATTATATTCATTATGACTTGATTTTAGGTCCATTTATTCAAACTAAGATAATATTCGGCAAATACTAAGACCAGTTTTAGCATAATGCAAATTGGGAGTTTTAGTCTGAAAAGTTTACTACTGTGAGCTTGAAATCGAGTCCATTGTTATGCTAAATCAAGTATCACTTGAAACCAAGTAAGAACCAGAATGCAATTTGGCTACATCTAAAAGTTGATTATTGTTAGCCCATTTTAATTCAATGATAAATTAACTATAAAATAATTACTCCCATTTCATAAGTGAATTTATATTTTGAGACAGAATTTTGTTTTATAGTAAGAAAATTCAATAAAACAATTAAACTTTTCCAGTTAAGAGTTGAAAAGACCAAAAATTAGATTGCTCAGACCCTAAGATTTATAAGATTCCATGTCAAACCGGACCTGAATCAAAACAATTAACATTCAGCAGTTCATAGAATTGCACCAGTCTCTCTGTTATATAATGATTCAAGACTTATTGATCCAATAAATGACAGCTACACCAGAATGTCCTATAAGCACTGAAATCAAGGTCTTTTGATTGTCACTTCTGATGCATATGGAAAAGAGAGAATAAGCTATCATGATAAATAGTGAAAACCTCTCAGTTAATTAAAAACTAAAGAGAGAAACGTGCTCCACACTAATTTCTCAACTGAACAAAAAAAGTAACAATTGTCCACAATTAAGCTTATGTGATGAGGAAGGAAGCTTCAAGCCAGAGGTCAAGTGGGGAAAGAAGAAGGAAAGAAGCAAACGGAATTAACCGACAGTTAATTGGTGAAGGGACGACGCCGTTTCGATTTATATATTGTATTTTTGTGGAAGAAACGTTTTTTGTGTTGAACCACGCCTTTTACTGTACTTATAGGAGGGAAGGGAAGAAAATAGGGTGTTGAAAATTGTCGTAAATTGTACCTCTCCTTTCTTCCCCAAATTCTCTGTTATCCTGCTCCTTCTTTTTTCTTAACTGTAACCACATTTTGTTAATATAATCACAGCTTGTTTGTTAAATACCAGCTGATTAGCTTCAATTGCAAGTTATTTGTGGCGATTATTGGTTGGTGTTGGTTGAGGTACGGCTCAACCATTACAAGTGGTATCAGAGCGTAAAAAAATTCTGGGTGGGTATGGATACTAGGGCCAAGGCAGTAGAGGAGCATCTGAAGAAATTAGACAGAGATGTGGAAGGTCTAGGAGTAGCTCTTAAAAATGTGGGTGTTAAAGTGGAAATGTCTGACCAAACATTACAGAACCTGTGTAATAAACAAGATAGAATGGAGGCAATGATGAGTGAGATGAATTCTAAATATGAATCCATGGTTGCAATGATGGCACAATGGAATGAGCAAAGGGGAGAACCCAAGGAGAAGAATAAGGTAGGCTCTTCTGTAAACTCTACAATCAGTGAAGGACTACTCACACCAATAATAGGTATAACACCCGAGAGCAATATGGATAAGGGAGATAAGAGACTGGGAGTGAAGCTACCCAAGATCGATTTTCCTTATTTCAATGGAGAGGGTCCCCGGGAGTGGCTAAGAAAGGCACAAAAATACTTCGAAATCCACCAAGTGCCGGATGGAGTTAGAGTCAGCATTGCAGAGATGTATCTAAAAGGAAGGGCAGATGTGTGGTTTCATGGGTTCATCAATAGTAACCCTGGTGCTGATTGGAGTCTATTCTCAAGTGAGATTTGTAGAAGGTTTGCTGAATCTACAGCAGAGGAAATCATAGAAGTCTTCAGCAAAATCAGGCAGAAGGAAAGTGTGGCCCGGTATCAGGAGTTGTTTGAGGATCTTAAGTCTCAGGTTATGCTCTCATTACCTCACCTTCCAGAATCCTATTACATTTCCATATTTACCAGTGGATTAAAGGAAGAAATTAAATCCATGGTTAAAATTGTCAGACCAACTTCTGTATCTCAAGCTTTTGAAGTAGCCCTTCTACAAGAAAACACTATAAATGCCTTGAATAAAACCACAAAATTCCAGTCCAAACCCAGCTATCAACCCAGATGGTCCAACATACCCCAAAAACCTCCTGATGCTACACCCAAACACTTACCTAACCTCAGCACTGAACCAAGCCAAAGAACTCAAACACATCCCTTGAAGTTCAAAACCATTACCCCTACTGACATTCAGACCAAAAGGAGTTTGGGACTCTGCTTTAGGTGTGATGAAAAGTACACCCCAGGACACATATGCAAGAATCAAATGCTTAATTTTATGTTGGTTGATGAGGAAGAAGTGAAGGTAGAAGGTGAAGGGAAATCATCGGAAACCTATGAAGAAGAAGAGGAAGAGGAGATTATGAAGATTTCTATCAATGCTCTTTCTGGAAGTCTGAAATCTAAGACTATTAGGATACCAGGACAAATCAAGAGGAGGAAGGTGTCCATTCTCATTGATAGTGGTAGCACCCACAGTTTCATCGATGAGAAATTGGTACAGGAGATGAGATGCGAAGTAGAAGTTACCCCGGCTGTGACAGTAACTGTAGCCAATGGGGATAAAATGTGCAGCAATGCTATTTGTAATCCACTTAACTGGACCATGCAAGGAATGGAATGCCAATTCCAGTTGAGGGTGTTGAAGCTGGGAGGGAGTGATATGGTGTTAGGAGTAGACTGGTTAAGCCAGTTTAACCCGGTCACATTTGATTTCAAACAAAGCAGCATCAAGTTTTGTTATAAAGGAATGGAGGTTGAACTGAAGAGTGAGTTGGGAAATGACGAAATTCTGATGATAGAAAAGGAGAAGATGGACCAGTGGGTCCAAAAACAATCATATGGGATCATAGCTCAAATTCATTCAGTTACAGAAGAGGAAAAGGAATCACATCCTGAGGAGATACAAAATATTATCGAACGGTATCCAAATGTATTTGAAGAGCCAAAAGGGATGCCACCACCTAGATTCAATGATCATAAGATTCCACTGAAGGAAGGAGCTCAACCTTTCAGAATAAGACCCTACAGGTGCCCATATGTACAGAAAACAGAAATGGAAAAGATGGTGAAAGAAATGCTAGAGGTTGGGATTATCCAGCCAAGTAACAGCCCATATGCCTCACCAGTGTTATTGGTTAAAAAGAAGGATGGAACATGGAGGTTCTGTGTGGATTACAGGCAATTAAATAGCATTACTATCAAGGATAAATATCCCATGCCTTTAATTGAAGAGTTAATTGATGAATTACATGGTTCTAAGTGGTTTTCCAAGATTGACCTGAGGGCTGGATATCATCAGATTAGAGTGGCTGAAAGTGACATACAGAAGACGGCATTCAAAACACACCATGGCTTGTTTGAATTCAAGGTCATGCCCTTTGGACTCACTAATGCTCCAGCTACATTCCAATGCTTGATGAATGAGGTTTTCAAGGAGTATTTGAGAAAGTTTGTCTTAGTTTTTTTTGATGACATATTGGTCTACAGCCCTGACCTGATATCCCATTGTAAACACTTAGCTAGAGTACTGGAGGTATTGGAGGAGCAACAGCTATATGCTAAAATGACTAAGTGTTCATTTGGGCAATCTAAAGTGGAGTACTTGGGTCACATTATCTCGGAAGCAGGGGTGGCGACAGACCCTACTAAAATTAGTGCAATGCAGCAGTGGCCTACCCCTACTTCTATCAAGCAACTAAGGGGGTTCCTCGGGTTGACAGGATACTATAGAAAGTTTGTAAAAGGGTATGGAGTTCTTGCCAGGCCTTTGACTGACTTACTGAAGACTGATAACTTCAAATGGGATGAAACAGCAAATAAGGCTTTCCAAAAGTTGAAATCGGCAATGTGTAGCACCCCGGTTCTATCATTACCAGATTTTACTCAACCATTCATCATTGAGACTGATGCTTGCCAGGGAGGTATGGGAGCTGTCTTAATGCAAAATAGAAGACCAATTGCTTACTTCAGTAAAGGAATTTGCAATGAGAAATTGGGAATGTCCATCTATGAGAAAGAACTTCTGGCATTAGTCACCGCAGTGGGAAGGTGGAGACATTATTTGGAAGGACATCACTTCATCATCAAAACCGATCACCAGTCATTAAAGTACTTGCTAGAGCAAAGGATAACTACATCTATTCAACAAAAATGGTTGACCAAACTATTAGGACTCAGCTATGAGATCCAATACAAGAAAGGGGTGGATAATGTTGTGGCTGATGCTCTTTCCAGAAGAGAAGAATCATCTATGGAAGTGGCGGCAATTTCTAATGTAACACCCATCTGGATACAGGAAGTGATAGACAGCTACCAAGATGATGCAATGGCTGCAAATCAGATTAAGGAATTGTTGATTAAACCCAATGAAGACTCTGATTTTTCCTATCACAATGGATTACTCAAATTTAAAGGCAAGATATATGTGGGTTCTGGAGGTCAGATAAGGGCTAAGTTGATTCAAAATATCCATTCTTCCCAGAATGGAGGCCACTCTGGTATTCAGGCTAGTGTATTCAGGGCTAAGCAACATTTCTATTGGCCAGGGATGATTAGAGATATCAAGAAGGAGATACTTCAGTGTGATGTTTGTCAAAGATGCAAAGGGGAACATGTTCCCTACCCTGGCCTGCTACAACCTCTGCCTGAACCACAGTATTCATGGAGCCACATATCCATGGATTTTATTGAAGGCCTACCCTCTTCAAAAAAGAAAACAGTTATCCTAGTAGTGGTGGACCGGTTCACTAAATATGGGCACTTCATAGCCTTATCTCATCCCTTCTCTGCAACCACAATAGCTAAAGTCTTCCTTGATAACATTTATAAGCTCCATGGAATGCCTCAAAGTATTGTGTCAGACAGGGATAAGATTTTCACTAGTGGGTTTTGGCAGGAGCTTTTCAAATTGATGGGCACTAACCTGCATCTGAGCTCTGCATATCACCCACAAACGGATGGGCAAACTGAGAGGCTTAACCAGTGTTTAGAGATGTATTTAAGGTGCATGACATTCCACCAACCGAGGAGATGGACTGACTGGTTATCACTGGCTGAATGGTGGTACAATACCACCTACCACACAGCGATTAAAATGAGTCCTTTTGAAGCCTTATATGGTATCCAACCACCCCATTTGGCATTGGGACCTTATCAGCAAACCAATGTGGCTGCAGTAGGAGAACTAGTGCAAGAGAGACATCAGATGGACCTACTTCTAAAGGAAAACCTTGCTCAAGCCCGAGCAAGGATGAAATTTTATGCTGACCAGCACAGGGTGGACAGAGAGTTTGGAGTGGGTGATTGGGTGTATTTGAAGTTACATCCTTACAAACAAAATTCTGTTATGGTGAGGCCCAACCAAAAGCTAGCTGCCAAATACTATGGACCTTACCAAATCGTCAGAAGGGTTGGCCAAGTAGCATATGAATTGATTCTACCCACTACTTCAAAAATACACCCAGTATTCCATGTATCTTTACTTAAGAAAAAGATAGGAGAACATGAGGTACCTATCTTATTACTACCGGAGAGCGGAGAACAAGAAACGATCTACAAGGAGCCCGTAACGGTAATGGAAACCCGAATGATTCAGAGAAATAATCAAGCAGTGAGACAATGGCTGATTCAGTGGAAAGGCTGTGACAGGGATGAGGCCACTTGGGAAGATGCAGCTGCAGTTCAGAACAAATTTCCTCTCTTCCAACCTTGGGGACAAGGTCGTTTTGAGGGGGAGGTATGTGATGAGGAAGGAAGCTTCAAGCCAGAGGTCAAGTGGGGAAAGAAGAAGGAAAGAAGCAAACGGAATTAACCGACAGTTAATTGGTGAAGGGACGACGCCGTTTCGATTTATATATTGTATTTTTGTGGAAGAAACGTTTTTTGTGTTGAACCACGCCTTTTACTGTACTTATAGGAGGGAAGGGAAGAAAATAGGGTGTTGAAAATTGTCGTAAATTGTACCTCTCCTTTCTTCCCCAAATTCTCTGTTATCCTGCTCCTTCTTTTTTCTTAACTGTAACCACATTTTGTTAATATAATCACAGCTTGGTTGTTAAATACCAGCTGATTATCTTCAATTGCAAGTTATTTGTGGCGAATATTGGTTGGTTTTGGTTGAGGTACGGCTCAACCATTACAGCTTATTTGGATGTAAAGACACTAGTTTTCGATACAACCATATAGACTGTCTATTATAACAAAAAACTTCATATACATTTGAACAAGAAAAAGCATAAACTAGAAAGCAAAATATTAAAAATGACCATAATAGAGAAGCCTACCCAGAATTAGCTTTCCTTTAGCTTTACTATAAACCAATAAATCGATTATTCTAAAAATACCCAAGAAAATAAAATTCAAAACCAAGTCTTCCATGTTTCTCACAGAAAGCTATATAAAACACCAAAAAATTACATAAACACATCGATTTTGAGAAAAAAAAATCATCAAAGAAAAATGTCCCACCAAATATTTGTTCAAAGAACATACCAGGAACATTTCGAGCTAGATTAACCAAAGCAGAGTGAGCTCCATCTTCGGCATCTGCTGCTTCAAATTTGAGTGGAATATGACGCGGAAGCGAAATGAGGTCGGACCCTTTTGGTATTTTCTCAGCCGCTACAAGCCCGAGCCCGAACCCACTGGATCCCTCCTCCAACTGGGCTATCTTGATGGACTGGTGAACGAACCCGGCTTCTCTCCGAACCCATTTTATCAGGTCCGGTGGCTGCGGAACCAGCCGCGAAGAATAGAAGGAAGTTGATGCGGCAGCAGTCGTTAGAGGCCGGGCGTGGGTTAGTGAGGTCGCTATAAGCATCGCCTTGCAAGACATCTCTCGTGCTGCTGCTGAGCCTGTTCCCTTGACGCTGAGTTGCACTGCAGCTTGTGAGAATTTGCTTTGATTAAATTTGGAATGAAACCATTTTGGTCCTAAACGTTTTGCTTAATGTTAAATTGATCCTTAAATTTTCAATAATATCTCAATTATTAGTTTAATGGATTCTATCCCATTTTATCAGAGAAATTCCTCTTGGGTCTCGAATCTTCTATAAGTCGCAGAAATGTCCTCAATCTTCTATTTGTGACATTTATATCCCTAAACTTTTTAACATTGGGCACACGATATCCGCATGACGAAAAAGGTTTATTTTGATGTTAAATAGTCATGCGACAAGCATATGATCTATGTTAATGAAAGGGTAAATATCTTCTATATATTAAAAGTGGATATGTAACGGAATTTCTTGTTTTTAACGAAAAAACTAATGAAATTTGTTATTTTAACGGACTATGTAACGGAATTTCTTATTTTAAACAGGCAGATGCACCTTCTTTCAGTATTTTTATCATAACTTTGTATTCCGATATCTGATTGAAGCGATTCAAAATGCGTTGGAAAGCTAACTCAACTGGCTACAACTTTGATTCAGACATCATTCTCCAATTCGATCACTTTCTATGCCAAAAATAGGTCTCAAATTGATTTGTGATCATCTTTTGCCTAAATTTGATTTCATTGACGTCTTCCTTTATCCAATTGATTCCGAGCACTCTCAAATCTTCATCGTGAAGTTCGGCACAGCTTTTAAGTATTTACATTTTAGTCTCCGAACTTTGGGTCCCTTACATTTAGCACTTTCTTCAAATTTGTCAATTTTTGCTTATTTTCTTCGATCTCACCAACTTACATCACAACATCAAAATCACACATCTAATTATTTATCAATTACATAAACATTACATCATTAATTATTTAATTAACCAAAAAAATTATATCTTTATTAATAACAAATTAATTCTTAAACAAAACTATTAAATATAAACTACGCAAACGTACATTGCACGTTGATTGCACCCAGTATTTTAAAATAGAACAACATTTAGACCTTGTTTGGTTTAAATAAAAATTATTTTTTTGGTAAATTTTTATAAAAGTGATGAGATTTGTGATTAAAAAGTTGTGAAACGCATAAAATGTGTTTTTCAATTTAATTATTGATTTTGACTTAAATTTTAATTTTTTTTTTTAACTAAACCAAACATGGGCCTAGCCCCTGTTTGGTATACATTATTTTTTTTCATTCTCATTTTTCTACTCATTTTCAACCACACATTCTTCAATAAAATAATATTTTCCATCACATCAATAACTTTTCCTTAATTTTTAACTACACATTCTCCATCAATCTACTAATGTAAGTTGAATAGTCACTATTTGGCTATTAAGTGAAGGAAATTAATTTTGGACAATTTTACCTTTTATTTATACACCACGTGTTTGTTGTGTAGACATTTAACGTCTAAATAGATATTTTTTTGTCAAGTGTCAAAAAGGTTGGGGCATATGTACCAAAGGAAGATGTTTTTGCGTACGTTGTGTGCACCGTGGTGAATACCCTAGATATACACGAGACCTAGTAAGCTTATACGTATGGTCTATCTTAGGTCGTCTTTGATTTTCTATTAGATGATTATATCATCTTATTTACTTTTGTCATTTTTAATTATATTATTCCCTAGAGAAAGTAAAATAGAAAGAACTTTTTTTTCGAAGAATACAACTACGCGTATCACTCTATGTGCTAACAAAAGGCAACTCGTTTAGTATTTAAACTCTTTTGCAAGCCCTTTTAGAGTTGAAAAGTTTGATTAAAACTTGTACAATTAAGATACGCATTGTTGTAATTTTTTACCATTTTCAAATGACTAAATCGTTATTTTCTTTACTATTTTGAAGTAACTCAATTTAAAATATTTTTATAGTTTTTATTTCATCTCTCGTAGAAAAGTTTCTTAAGGAAACCATCTTCGATGGTTGAAATCAACAATCAGATGCGAAAGACGAAAAAAATTAATATCTATTTCCAACCTTAAAAAGATCATAGAGATATAATATAAACAAAAAATTAGACATGGCATGAAACCAACAAGTAGTTTATCTCATGAATATTTTCGTTCCAATACTATGCAGCATCAACCAATCTTGGGTTGCACATCCGCATCAAAGCACGATCCCATCATCATCATGACCTTGAATTCATCGAAACTGATCGTGCCATTGCCATCTGCATCCACCCCGCTTATCATCTTCTTGCACTCGGACAATGTACATTCCTCTCCAAGGTTCTTCAACACATTCTGCAGTTCCTCGGCCGATATCGAGCCATTCTTGTCAATATCGAAAACCGAGAACGCCTTCTTAAGATTATCGAGCACCTCCTCCGAGTCAATATCCTTGGTGTTTAGTTCAATGAATTCTAGCATGTTGATGAATCCATCCCCATCAGAATCCACCTCCTTGATCATGATCTCAAGCTCTTCATTTGTCGTCCGGTGGCCAAGGCTGCCCATAATTGAACCCAACTCAGAAGCCGAGATCTTTCCATCGCCATTAACGTCGAATTTCTTGAAAACTTGCTTGAGCTCGTCCTCGATCTGGGCTCTAGAATTCAAGGAGGATGATGGGGAGTTTATTATAGGGATCGAGTTTGAGGCAGTCATTGGAAGGGATTGTTTCTTCTTCCTCTTGAACAAAGATCTCAATCCCATGATTCAAAGCAACAAATAAAAAAACACTGGGTTCGATTTTCTGTTTTCTTGTTCAAAATCAATGAAAGAAACAAGAGATTAGAGGCGAAAAGGGCACAAAATAGGAATGGGAGGTGAAGAATATATTAAAGAATATTTTTTGAGTTTATATTGGTAAGTGAATCCTACTATATTTAGGATTCTGCGTGGAATCACGTTATATTTATAATTCTATGGCGTGGAGGGTTGCACGCCGGAATTTAACAATAAATTGGTTCCATGATAATTTTTAGAAAATCAAATATTTTGACATTCATTAGGATTTTGATTCTTAGGATTTAATAACTAAGATCTTGTATTTTCTAATTAAAATTGGGAAATATATTGTCCCCATAATTTTTTATATTCAGTTACATCAGATTTTAATTGAACTTAAAGTCCATGGACGAATTTTTATTTTCGACCTTTTATTTATTAGCACATCTCGGTTAATATATGATTGCATTGGTTCCTCACGCTTTGCATTTGCTTTGAAAGGAAAAATAATGGGGAAAGTTTTGCCGAGGACTAAGACATGGATGCCTTTATCATAAGTAAGGTTTTCCTACTACATCAGCAAGTAGGGGGTCTTATCGTGCCCACTATGGAAAGGAGAACAATTCAAACTAATGTTCCGGAACATGAGAAAAATGAAATCCCCGATTTACTCAAGATCCAGGCCAATCACTTTTAGGATCCATTTAATTGTAAGAATGGAATTTGGGTAGAAAGAAAATGAATTTCTGGTAATTGAATTGCCTAAAACTTGTTTTATTGGGAATTGTCAATTAATTGTATTTGATTGGTATAATTTTGAAAATATTTAAATTTTGGATTTTTTATGTGCGTTTGACTTTATTTTTCATGAAAATTGTCCATTAAAGGGATAGAATTTATACAATTGGGGATAAAATTTGTTTCCATTGCCCAAAAAATAAATTTTTTTTAAAAAAGGAAAAAGTCGCCTAAAAAAAGCTTTTCCACCAAAGTGGTGGGAAAAGTTTTTCCTCAAAAATCAAGAAAAATGACCAAAAAGGGGGTTGGGTGGAAAATCATTTGTTAAGAAAATTTTGTCTATCAAACAAGCAAAAATGTAAAAAATGAAAAACCAATTCATAGTTTTATGGAAAAGAAATACTATCAAATGGGGCCTTAGATAACTATTTGGGGATTGCCGGTGTCAGTTGGGCGTAACAGAAAACGGACCATCTGAAAATTACATCTCCAATATGAAGAATCATAACCAATTTTCTAAATCTTTCCTTATGCAACTAACTAGA